AAACAAATTTTAAAATTTAAATAAAAAAAATTGTATTAATTTTCTAACTTATGTTTGTGGAAAACATTTAAGGTAATTCTCATGTCTACGAGGATATACGCAATACAAATAACAAATGATATCTCTTTGTTTCTCAGTGACTAACAACTTCCCAAAGGTCATACGTAGAAGATGACTTTTCGAAGAAGAATATTTTATAACAATAATCAAAAGATGAATTTACTAAGTTAATAACAACTTTGTAAAAGAGATAAAAGTTTACATACAAAACCTACTATTACGTTATTTAACTATCTAGAAGAATAAACTTATTATCATATATTTATATCTACATCTATATATATAAGTATTCATTTATTTTATTTTGTATTTTCTTAAACTGTTTACTTAACCGATCATTATTTTCATTATCATATTACTTTAGGATAAACATAATAAATTAATCTGACCTATTTACTTTTGACAAAAAGTGAAGGCCTACCTTGCATAGTTAGTCAAAGTGGGTTCACTATCATTTTTTTTTCTTTTAAAATTTTGTTATTGGATTGACAGATTTTTTTTTAATTTTGTTATATCTATATATAATATACATAGTTTAATTTAAACAAAAAAATTAAGTTGGAAAATCCATCTTTTTCTAGTCTACTAGGTTGATCAATAGGACAAGATAACCAAAACCAATTAGACATATACTAAAATCTTTTATTTTATCCGTGGTTATAAGTTTTTATATTTTTCAATTAGATACATTTTGTTTGATTTTGTGGACTGGAGTGACGTATTAATATATGTGATTAATATATGTGATTAATATATATATATATATATATATATATATATATATATATATATTAATTGATTATTCTTACTTGATTCATAAGTATTAAGTATGAGTATCTAATCCAGTTTCGTTATCCATTGAATATTTTAAAACCTAAAAATATTTATGAATATTTAAAAATTAATATTTTATAAATTTTTAAAATAAAATTATAAAAGTATATAATATAA